TTACTTGAAAAGGTTCTTCACAGTCTGGCTCCATAGTTTCCTCTCCTGCCAATACCCCTCATATAATCTACTGCTCTGATAATATAGGTCTGCATGGGGCTCCACACCAGGGTTTCTGAACCTCAGCAATGCAGACATTATAAACCCAATCGTTTTTTTGCTGTAGGAGGCTATGCTGTACACTGAAGGATGTTTAACAGCATCCCTGAACTCTACCCATTACCTGTCAGCAGCATCTTCCAGTCATGACAGTAAGAACTGACTCCAGACACTGCCAAGTTTCCCTTGGGAAGGGAGAGCATAAAAGAATCCTCAGTTGTGAACTGCTCTGTATCCCTGTAAACACTGCTCTCTCTACCTGAAATCATTTCCCCCACCTCTGCAGAACTCATTTTTCAAGCCCATTATCCATGCTATTGCCTCCACTGTGAGGTTTTCTTCTAGTCAAAGTTACTCATTCCTTCTTTACTATTCACCTTCTTCGTTTTCTTTTCTATGTTCTATTTTCCCCCTCTAGATAGTGAGAACCTCCATCTGATTATTCTTTGTATTTTTATTAATTTAGATGTTCAACAAAGGTTGATTATTAAATGAATATGAGAATATGAGCCTCCATGAGATAACCCGCCCATTGCCAAGGCAAAACTGGTTCACTGAATCCCACATTGTCCTTCAGTTCTGTCTGTCTCTCTCATTTTTTTTTCTTTTTTTCTGTTTTGCTTTGCTTCTGGGAAACAAATTAAATGACATACTCAATTTTAGTAACCCAAGGTCCTTGGTATATCTAGTTCTGTGATATTTTTATTTGGTCTTTGTTTAGGTTTACATTTTAATCATTCATTATTTAACAAGTTTTGCCATCAGAAGTTGCTTCAAATTCTTTTTGAAATATAATTAGTGAAAACTTACAAACATAGAAATATAAAACCAAAATTTTATATCATGAAGATCTCATTTCATGAAAAAATTTCAAAAAAAGATTGTTCACTGTAGGATTCAGTGAACCAGTTTACTCTAATCAACATTTAAGAGTAATTTTCAACCCTGATCCTATGTTAACACAGCATCTCTGTAGTTATTTCAAGAGTTGTCATAAAATTTCCAAAGAAAAATCTGCCTTAATTTTGTGTGCATATACATTATGCATCTAGATGATATGTGTGTAAGCCTACACTTTTGGGAAGGAAAATAAATGAACTAGAACCCTGGAAACATTAAACAAACACCAACAACAAAACAATAGAATGTCACACTCCAAAAAGTCTGAAGGTCATTGACAAGGAGAGACCTCCTGAATATTCTGTGCTGAGGCTTATTTGCTGTCTAAGCAGCTTTTGCAGCCTGAGTTATCCACATTATTTCTCTAATCTTGGAATTGTTCTCTGTTGCCGTAGGTTTAAAAATAATCTTAGCAATGTCGATTTTTAAGTATTGGTTCTAAATTTCTATTGAAATTAATCATTTTAATTCTCAGTTTTCCTACAGATAATTCAGGGTAAAAAGATTAATTTAGTGCCACTGGTCAATTCTTAAGGCAAAGCAATTAATTAATCAAAAAAGTAGCATCCACCTATACTGGACTGGAGAAACTTCACAGAATAAATATGCAAATCCAATATCCTCAAGGCTGACAAGTTTCTATTATTAAACTGCTAACGTGTTTATTTCCCCCACAATAGCTGGATTTTTGTCATGAATACGCATTAAGCCCTGTAGTGATTAGCAGTGATGACTAGGTGACAGTGAGGACACTACTTGAGAATTTGCATTTGACAGATCATTGACATACAGTCACAGTTCTTTTTTTTTGTTTTTTCCCTTCACTTAAACAGGAATCATGCAATAGGAAATGAACCAGAGCTATTAAAGATTATTCAGGTTTAATAGCATGCATCCTTTTAGCTGGCATTAGAACAATACACAATGTGGCAGAGTTAAACAGAGACATCAATTATATTCTCAGACCTGCTAATATTTTTGACAATATTTAAATAGCACATCCCTTTAGGGCATGGCTTTTTTGCCCTCTTAGTTACACACCTGTCAAGTGTTTAATTTGCCAAAGGGAAACAGTTTGATTTCTAAGGGCAGTCTTAATACTGAAGAAGCAAATTGAAAAAATTAAACATTATTGAATAGAAGTAATGAGAAGGATCTGAGGGAAAAAAATTGTAGGCTTAATTCAACATGGCATGTCAGCATCTGTCATTAATGCAACAATATGATCATGTTTTCCAATATGCTGCATATACCTCAAGCTTTTCAATTATTCAGTTCCTTTACTTCTAAAAAAACAGGAGGCTGATGGAGAGGGAGAATCAGAGGGTCGTATTTTCTAGTAATAGTAAAAAAGATGGAGATAGTAAATTGTACCTGTCATGCATATAAAATTATACATTTGAAAATAGGGAAGGTATGAAGTAATAAATATAAGCTAGCCATTGGTCAGATTTGTGTAGCCACTGGTTTAAAATAATAAATTTCATTCCTCAAATTCATTAATTATTAAATTATAAATATTAATAAATCAGCAGTTGGTAAACTACATAGAAAATGTAAATCTGACATGACAAAAGTCTAGAGTACTTATATTTAAATTTTAGAATAGAAAATAAGTTTTTAAATTTTTAGTCATATAAGAAAGAATCTGGTAAACAAATGGAATTGAATTAGTAAAGAATGGAGATTAAAAAAAAGAGTCACAGACACTGTAAAAAGTTATTAATGATTTTAAACAAAAGAAAATTCTTGGCATCTAGGCACCAACTTTCTACCAAAAAAAAAGGAAGAAGAAGATGTAAGACAGGCTCCAAAGAAAACTGACTTCTAGTTCTACTCTACTCTTACAATCAAGTCACTTAACCTCTCTAAGCCACTGTAATCTACAGGGTATAAACTAGGTGTTTTTCTTGGTCCCCTTCAGTATTAGTTTTTCACTGTACATGAACATGTGGCCAAGAAGCCCAAAGTCCAAAAACATGTAAGGCATGCCCCATAGAATTCTCAGACCTCACAATTTTTGTAGTCTTAAAATATACCAGTGTCTATCATTAACAAAATAATAAGATTATGCTGTAGTTAGTCTCAGTCTCAACAAATTTCCAAGTAGGTTTCATCTGAATCACGTGGGACCCAGATAGTCTTAGAGCCCATATCCTACCTCCATATGGAAATGGTAAAACAAGCTTAATAGGCAGGCCTATTTGTCCCCTCCTTTAATGGGACACTGTATGCACAAATACTATACCTTTTATATAAAACTGTCTGCAAGGGAAATTTCAAGTTATCTCACTGGGCCAGTGGTATGTCCCAACACACTTGCTAGCACTCTTTTTGTTTCAACTTTTCTTCTCATTCTCATCATGTTTTCACATAACATAATAAGAATAGAAGATATCTGTTCAACTTCTTTACACTCTCTGAAAAAGCAGATAATTTTCCACAACATAATTATGCTTTTATTCAGGATATTGGTTTCTCCAAAAGCTTGCCAATCCATTCTGAAAACCAGTACTGAAAATCAATCTTGCCAGGTATGGTGGCTCACTCCTGTAATCCCAGCACCTTGGGAGGCTGAGGCAGGTAGATCATTTGAGGTCAGGAGTTCGAGACCGGCCTGGCCAACATGGTGAAACCTCCATCTCTACTAAAAATACAAAAATTAGCTGGATGTGATGGTGGGCACCTATAATCCCAGCTAGTCGGGAGGCTGAGGCAGGAGAATCTCTTGAACCAGGGAGATAGAGGCTGCAGTGATCCAAGATGGTGCCACTGCACTCCAGCCATGGTGACAGAATGAGACTCCGTCTCAAAAAAAAAAATAAAACAAAATCAATCTTTTCAATAACTTGTAAAGGAGACAAACACAACTACATATAACAAAAACACCTTAAATTCATGATCACGACTTAAAACCATTAGATAGAAATTTACTATAGAAAAGTATTTGTGAAGATTCTTCTTGATTTACTTTTTTTGCTACAAAATATCTAGATTAAGAAGTTATATGATATTAAACAAATTCATTCTCTCTTATTACTTTTTGTTCTTTCGCATTAGCCACATTTTGGTTTTTTTTTTTTTTAACTGAAGCTGTTTCACTCAGTTATGAAACTAATCTTCAAGTTTCATTTTTAACCTTAAATGGCAGAATATTTGCTAGCAAGTCATCTATAACCGTTAAATTAATGCTAAAGACATCAGAATGAAAACCAACTTGGATTGAAGGCATAATTAGATTGATTTCAAACCTTGAAGATAACAAACATTTTTAAAATATTTTTTAAAGCATAGAAATGGTGATTAAAGTAAGTTCAAAGAACATCTGACTTCAGTTTTCATTCTGTCATTGTGAAATGTTTCAATTTTAATATAAATGCTAGGACTTTTTAATGCTCATACTTTTTACAGAACAAAAAAGCACTGTGTTACATTTAGAAGTTCTAATGTTTATCACCATCTGAGCTGTCATGGAAGCAATTGCTACTTACACTCTTTAAAGAAGTGAGAATTGCAATTCCTCTAACTGATGACAATGTAATTATTCCTTTTACTGTCAAAATAGAGGTGATTTCCCTTCCTCATACACATGATTACACATGCAAATCCAGGCTTATCTGAAATCTTGTAAGTATACTGAATGTCCGAATCTGAATGAACGATCACATGAACAATGAGCCTGAGTGATGATGGAAACCAAGTCTACAGCCAACCATCCTAAACATATTTTTATCATCCGTTTTTCCTGTAGAAACTCATTCTTCAGCATCCACACAGCTTTCAACACAATGTCATATCATCTACAATATACAGCAACAACCATTACAAAAATAACTAGGAGGAAAAAAGCCACATTGAATCTGAATGTCTCATTTGGAGGTTTAAATGACTTCATTAACTATTCATTAACACATAGAAAAATCAGCCTTTCAGAAAAACACCAGCCTTTCACAAGATCTATGCCATGTCGTGAACGCCTGCTTGGGTGAATGATGTCCTACCTGGTCTTTCAGCTGCTGTACAGAAGTCTGAAGGCTCAGAATCTGACTGAAGAGAGGGCTCTGCAGGACTGACTTCAGAAGGCTCAGTTTGTCTTCATTTGCTACATCCCCACGTTCTCGCAGCTTGGTTTGCAAGCGCTCTGCTGCCTGCAGGGCCCGATTTTTGTCTATACCAAAGAGCAGCATTTGTCAATAATAGGATTCAAAGGACACATGTCCAGCCTATGAGGACTCCATCTAGTAGAAATTCTAAAACTATTTCTATTGAGTGCATAAAATTGTCCCTTTTAAATTGAATAAAAAACTGCAGGCCGGACACGGTGGCTCACCCCTGTAATCCCAGCACTTTGGGAGGCTGAGGCGGGCGGATCACTTGAGCTCAAGAGTTCGAGACCAGCCTGGCCAACATGATGAAACCCTGTCTCTACTAAAAATACAAGAAATTAGCCAGGCGTGGTGGTGCACTCCTATAATCCCAGCTACTCAGGGGGCTGAGGCAGGAGAATCACTTGAATCTGGGAGGTAGAGGTTGCAGTGGGCTGAGATCAGGCCACTGCACTCCAGCCAGGGAGACAGAGCGAGACTCCATCTCAAAACAACAACAACAAAAAAAACTGTAGAGAAAGTAGACATTTTTTAATGGAGTACAAAAACACAAAAAATACAAAACTGAGTACTTTTTTTTTTTTTTGAGACAGAGTGTCGCTCTGTCGCCCAGGCTGGGATCTCAGCTCACTGCAAGCTCTGCCTCCTGGGTTTACGCCATTCTCCTGCCTCAGCCTCCCGAGTAGCTGGGACTATAGGCACCCGCCACCTTGCCCGGCTAGATTTTTGTATTTTTTAGTAGAGACGGGGTTTCACCGTGTTAGCCAGGATGGTCTTGATCTCCTGACCTCATGATCTGCCCGTCTCGGCCTCCCAAAGTGCTGGGATTACAGGCTTGAGCCACCGCGCCCAGCCCTGAGTACTTTTTAATACTTTAAATATCTTTCTCCAAAATTAAATAGCAAATAAAATAGCATATTATATTCGCTTCAAAGCTAATCAATTCAAATAATTACTGAACACCGTATAAATCAGGCACAAAGTTGCAAAAAGTAAATATATTCAGTAATTATGTCCTACTAGTCCTAGCGTCTTACAATCATACTTACGCCAGAGTTTCTACCACAAATAATAGTTAAAAACCTTTCCCTGAAACACAAACACATACACTTACACACTCTTATAAGTGAAGCCAAAACTTTTTTTTAATGGAGATTGTTCAGATGTATTACTTAGATTCATCATGGTAACAAGTATATCTATTTAAACATATTTCCCGTATCCCAGTAATGATAAAAAGGGTGAATCGGCAGGGCGCGGTGGCTCATGCCTGTAATCCCAGCAGTTTGGGAGGCTGAGGCAGGTGGATTACTTGAGCTCAGGAGTTTGAGACCAGCCTGTTCAATATGGTAAAACCTCGTCTCTACTAAAAATACAAAAATTAGATGGGCATGGTGGCATATGCCTGTAATCCCAGCTACTCAGGAGGCTGAGGCAAGAAAATCCCTTGAACCCGGGAGGTGGAAGTTGCAGTGAGCCAAGATCATACCACTACACTCCAGCCTGGGCGACAGAGTGAGTGAGACTCCATCTCAAAAAAAAAAAAAAAAAAAAAAAAAAAAATGGAATCATCACCACAGACACTTTCTATAGCACCAAATCTGAAATTGCAAAGAAATAGGGTGATTAAAACATGAATTGATGTTGATCATAAGTTCACACACACACAATGAGTAAACAAACAATATTTACTCATATGCAGAATTTTAAAAACAAATAATGATAAAGATACACATGAGCATCTTATTCTGGGTTATATGTCCCATGGTATCTCAGAATACAAATCTAATATTAATTTCCACATCAATTATTTGGAAAGTGTGCAACTCAGCACAAAACAAAATAAAGACTAGAAAACAATGGTTTAAATAATTCTGTATTTGCCCTTTCCTTTCCACTTTCCTATTAAGAACTTTCCCATGTGGACTAGGAGTCTTTACAGCATGTGCGTTTAGTATAAAATGGGAAGTGAAGGAAATGTACATACATACATTTTCATTACCAGCACAGTACCAGGAACAAAAGCCATCATAGAGATCCCCACGATCACAAAAACAGGTCCTTCTCTCGTTACTGCCACTGACTCTCACTCTATCCCTCAAAACCCACCAACGTCAAGGTATCTGCCATAATGATTAAGGTGCCAGAGTGAAATCCAAACACTTTCCATTTAGTCATACCCAAAGAGTTACCTGGAATAGGGTAAGGAACTAGAGTGTCAGATAATTGCATGTATTGTGCCATACCTGATATATCTAGCTATAAATGGTTCTACTAACTAGTTTCTTTAAAACTAAAGAGCAGTGGGAAAAACAAATTATTATCACATGAGTCTGGGAAATGTAGATATTTCGACCTAAATTATCTCATGTAGAAATTAAACTGCCTTAAAGCATAAGACTAAGTAACATTTTTCTCTTTATCAATTAATAGCAAGAGCTCAGCAGTACTTCACCTGCCACAAGTAATATCTTCTTTCAGTATTAAAAATACTGCTAAAATTCCAAATGCTTTCCAGAAATAGATATTAACCAGAACTGGGCTCATAAATCAGAATTGGGCTTACATTAAGCTTTATTAAAATCCATAACTGGAAGAATATCTCATATGTTTTTAATTTTTGCTCATATGTAATGTGTTTTTTATAACACTTCAGATGAAATTGTCCAAATACAGAAACATATTACCTTAGTACAATGTTAGTAGGTAAACACTTTTTAAATCTAGATACTATAGACAGAATCCTGCTATGTTAAACACACCATATGTCAAAAATCCCAATGGGAGGAGTTACAATTCTTATAAAAGTAGGCAGAAAAGAATAAGTCTTACCAATGGCTTCTAACATTTTTTTCAAAGTTCAGTGTTCTTCTCTAAAATGATTAACAGCAATTAAAATGGAACTCTGCAAAAAAGAAATAAAATAGAGTGGTTATGTTTTATCAGAACTTTATATTCTAAAGCTAAATACTCTAAAATTTTAAACACTCGATACAACTCAAATTCTTTTGACCATTAAAATCTTGTTGATACAACTTAAGATAGTTCTCTTTATAGACAATAAAGTAATCATTTTAGGACTTATTCAAAATAATCTTCTATGTATATATTTACCCATAATACTTGGATAAGGTAAAAGACATAAATTCTGTTTTAAATAAGGTGGCAGAAGTTTCAAACATATTTCCATAAGAAGTTCCACTTACAATACGGACCACTATAATCTTGTATTCACTTATAGATCTTTAAGTGTAGAATAAGAAGCTTACTTAACTCCACATAAGAAATTCTGTGGCAAAAAAACATAAAAAGTAGAAAATGTGATCCTGCCCTCAAAGGCTCACACCCCTAACTGAGGAGACAATGCATGCATACCTATTAGAAATGAACTGTGGGCTGGGCGTGGTGGTTCACACCTGTAATCCCAGCACTTGGGGAAGCCAAGGTGGGTGCGTCACTTGAGGTCAGGAGTTTGAGATCAGCCTGGCCAACATGCTGAAACCCCGTCTCTGTTAAAAATATAAAAATTAGCCGGGTGTGGTAGTGCACACCTGTAATCCCAGCTACTCAGGATGCTGAGGCAGAGGAATCACTTGAACCCAGGAAGCGGTGGTTGCGCTGAGCCGTGATCATGCCATGGCACTCCAGCCTGGGCCACAGAACAAGACTCCACCTCAAAAAAATAAAAAAAGAAAAGAAAAGAAAAAAAGAAATGAATGTGACACTCAAGCAGTACCTGAACTACTGGAAGATAATATATTAAATCATGGATGAAAAACTGAACAAAAGGGAGCACATAGTGTTAAATTTTTCAAAAGTTCTCAAAATACTCTCCTGACTATAATGTTCTGCTCTTTCCCATTCAAAGAAACCTTCTCAACTCCTTCAATCCACACATCTCATCTTCCTCTAAGAATACTTAACTAGATTCTTTTAAGTACTGGATACAGATCTGCAACGCTAACATCCACGTCACTAATGCATCTTGAGCCTTTGCTGCCAAACAAATCTGCACAACTATCCCCATAGTTCCATCTCTCTTTTGCCTCACAGAAAACCCTGAATCATGAAGAAGACAGTCAGTCAGTCATTCCTTCAATAGAAAAAAGAAATCTACCACCACACATTCTCATTTTTCATCTGGAAGATAAAATGGGATTTCTCTTAGAAAGAACAAGTTGCCTCCTGTTACCTCTTTCAGACAAAATTCATTTGGCTAAAAAGGAAGTGTGTGATGTAGATGAGCAGATCTACAAAACATCAATGCCTGCAATTAGCTCTGTGTGATAACAAAGAACAGTATGTATTGACTTGTCTTATCCCAATTTAGAATATACTATTTGAAACATCAACTCCATTTCAAATGTCAAATCGTTTAACTACTGGCACTTGTTTTAAAAAGTGTCTTTGTGTCAAGAAAAGAGGATACTGGCTCTGACCTGGAATTGAAACCTAAATAGAAGTGTGGCCTTGAGCAAGGGACCTATCATTTCAACATCTGTTTCTTTTAAAACACACTTACTCATTGGGTATATTTTGAAAAATGAGATAAAGTATGCCAATTTCCAGCTCATAGCATAACTTGTAACTATGATACATTTATTCAGGATTAATGCCGAGTCAATATATTCCATATAGATAGGAATTCCAATGCCAAGCAATACATTATTTCATGAGGCCTAATATAGGGTAATATTAACAAATAAATTGGTGACTTTTTTACTCTTATTTATAAGGAGAATATAATATTCCTTCACAAAACAGCCTACTATTAGCCACCCCGCCTCAGAAACAATTAACTTCTGGTAATTAAAACACAAAAATAGGCCAGGCATGGTGGCTCATGCCTGTAATCCCAGCACTTTGGGAGGCTGAGAGGGGTGGATCACGAGGTCAGGAGATCGAGACCATCCTGGCCAACATGGTGAAACTCCGTCTCTACTAAAAATACAAAAATGAGCTGGGTGTGGTAGAACATGCCTATAATCCCAGCTACTCAGGAGTCTGAGACAGGAGAATCACTTCAACCAGGGAGGCGGAGGTTGCAGTGAGCCAAGATCGTGCCACGGCATTCCAGCCTGGCAACAGAGCGAGACTCTGTCCCCTCCCAACTCCAGAAAAAAATAGGGCTGGGTATGGTGGCTCACGCCTGTAATCCCAGCAAATAACCTCAGCTCAGAAGTTCGAGACCAGCCTGGCCAACACGGTGAAACCCCGTCTCTACCAAAAATACAAAAATTAGCTGGGCGTGGTGCATGTGACTGTAGTCCCAGCTGCTCCAAGAGGCTGAACCAAGAGAATTGCCTGAATAAAGATACCCCAATATAAGGAAGCCCAGGGCTACAAAAGTATATTTAATCACCCAGGAAGAAGCATGATAGCAATAAAAAAGCATGGACTAGAGAGTCTGATGACCTGAATTTAAATTTCAACTAGCTATATGCCCTTGTTAAGTCACTTATCTTTTTCTGAATCTGAGTCTCTATTTATAAATGAATGATGTTTATAACGTTTTGAAAGGATAAAATTATACATGTTTTTGGTATGCACATGAAAAATTAATTCTAAAGATAGACAGTGTTCCTGACATACATGGGAGGTAGACCTCGGATTTAGAAGCTCACTGATTTATGGGAAGTCTGCAGAGAAAGTACAGCGTAGGCAGTTCCTAATTGAGAAAAACACTGTTGTCCGAAAGTTCATCTACAAGTCGGTTACAGTAAAATAGAATTACTTTTTCTTCCCCAAAAAATTACACAAAGGTTAAAAAAAAAAACAAAAAATAGCTCCCAGATGAGAGAGCTCTACTCTTTTGTATTTCAATGATTTTTTAAAATTACAGTTTCAGAGTTTCTTTTCTAGGCTTGGATGTCCCTAAAATAAATGCATAGCTTTTTTTGAGATTTTTCAGGGGATTTCACCATTAGCAACCCCGACAAAAACATAAGAACTTTTAAAAACTTGTTCCTTTCTGTGCCTGATATACCTGTCCTGAGGATTCAGTTCTAATTATAAACAAATTCATTTATCATCACAAAATTTTTGAGATAGATTGAGTCTACTCCCTTCAAATTGCAGCCATGAATTCCTCTTGTCACCTTTTCACCACCCTACCATTTCCTTTCCCTTTTTGCCCATTTAAATACTATATGGAAACTTAAGGATACCTGAGTGATAACAGTGGGTCATGGCCAACTGGCATGACTTAAACAAGATCCAACATGTCAGAAGAATGGCAAGTTCTGAGGGATTTTCTTTTTCTTTTTTTTTTTTTTTGTCTGGACAATTCATGCTAAGCAGTGACAATAAGGAATCAGAGAGGCAGAAAAGAGATGAGCTATGGATATGATAAGAAGGAGATCAGCACTAATGCTGAAACAGAAGCAGAAATGATAACAGCAAACACACAGCACCTACCACATGCTGGGTACTATTCGAATCATGCTTCCAATTAAGTCTTTTAATACTTACACAATTCACTCACTTTATAAACAAGGAAAATGAGGTACAGACAGGTTAAGTAACTCTTCTAAGTCCACACCACTACTAAGTGATAGAGCAAGGATCTTAACACAAGCCATCTAGCTCCAGAGTCCACAATTTAATTTCTACAATATGCTGCCTCTAGAAAGCAGGAAGATTCGACTTCCCTGTTTCCAAGTTCAAACAGACCATGCCCTACATAAAGTGAAACCAAAGGAAGAAATAGAGACCCAAAATGAATGAAGTCTGAAATGGAATAGACTGCTGTAGATAGTCAAATCAGCCAACTGTTCAGACAAGGTATGAAAAAGTCAGAAATACATATGTTAGAAACCAGCAGTGGGTCTATCAAAGACAGATCAGGAATATTCACCATTTATGTAATGTTAATGTCCATACGTCTTTAAACAAATCACTTTTAAAATCCAAGATTTTAAGAAAAACCCTTAAGAAGCCTCTTTAAATTGATATTCAAAGTATATTCAAAAACACTGCTTTTACATTTCAAGGTACTAAATCCCTCAACACAAAGAGAATTAAGAATACACAGTATATTGTTGTAATTGTTCTATTTTATTATTAGTTGTTGTTAATCTCTTATTGAGCTTAATCTGTAAATTAAACTTTATCATAGGTATGTATTTATAAAAATAAAAAAAAAAGCATACCTCAGAGATATTGTAGGATCAGTTCCAGACCACTGCAATAAAGTGAATCTTTCAATAAAAGGGGTCACACGAATTTTTTGGTTTCCCAGTGAGTACAAAAGTTATGTTTACACTACACTGTAGTCTATTAAATGTGCAACAGCATTATGTCTAGGAAAACATTCTATACACCTTTATTAAAAAATAGTTTACTGTCAAAAAATGCTAGTGATCATCTGAGACTTCAGTGAGTCATAGTCTTTGTGCTGGTGGAGAGTCTCGCCTTTGTACTGATGGCTGCTGACTGACGGGTGGTGGCTGCTGAAGGCTGGGGTCGCTGTGACAATTTCTGAAAATAAATCAACAACGAGCTTTGCCACATTGATTCTTCCTTTCATGAAAGATTTCTCTGTAGCATGGGATGCTGTTTGATAGCATTTTACCCACAATAGAACCTCTCAAATCCTGCTCCTACTTTATTAACGAAGATTATGTAATAGCCTCAATCCTTTTTTTCATTTCAACGATGTTCACATCTTCACCAGGCATACATTTCATCTCAAGAAACCACTTTCTTTACTCATCCATAAAAAGCAACTCCTCATTCATTCAAACTTTATCATGAGAGTACAGCAATTCAGTCACATCTTCAGACTCCATTTGAAATTCTAGTTCTCTTGCTATTTGTACCACATCTTCTGTGACTTCTTCCACTGAAGTCTTGAACCCTCAGCATTATTTGTAAGAGTTTTAGAATCAACTTCCTCCAAACTCC